TTTGTAGCCGAGTTTGGACCGGGGGTTTGCCGAAACTCGAGCCGATGTTCCTGGAGTGCGGGGTTTCGAACCACCATATGCTGTTGGGACTTGCACTTGGCGCACAGCTACACATCTGGGGTGAGGATCTCTCAACTGTGGGGAAGATTGGTGACTTAACAACCCATTGCAATTCCCGAGTCTACCAAAGGAAGAAAAAGGGCAATGCAGTTATTGATTCGCTGCGATCGACGAATTCTAAAGGCCATTGAATCAATTTATATAACCAGGGACTAAGTTCTGCATGTTGCTACTGCTGCTGCCACTAGGAATCATCACCCCCCAGCAAGTAGACTGCACCACCTCTTGGCATCATGTAAGAATGACAAAGACGGGCAATTGCAGTTTCTCATTGCTTCGAGTGATTGCTGAGGCATGGGAGCTGCTTGGAATCCATGGCCAATAAGGTAATTAAAATGCAAAAGGCTGCGGCTCTGACTACCGCATAATCTTGTCTCACATGTAGCTATTTCGATTCAAAGTCTGCGTTGCAGAATATGTATATGATGTAGTAAAAAGTCACTTGCGGAACACTGACGTTTGCCTCACGCAGGCGAGTGTTGCGGAGTATTGAGATCTTATACCTGTAGCGTGGCCTATTGTTGCGTGTCAGACGAGACAATGCCGGTGCGGGGTAATAAACTGGACGATGCAGAGCTGACCCGTGGAGGCCTTAACAATGATAAGCTCTCGTAATGCAATCAATCTTTCGCGCGTTTTCGAGTTCTAGGATCCTCACTACAACTGAGAGTGATGAAGTGTTAGCAAACACCATTGCATTTGTTCTGTCCTTTCACAAGGCTACAGCTATGTGAATTTCGCTGGTCACTTTCCTATCTTGGGTTGTCGCTCAGAAGCGAAATGTTTGCCGAATTTGACAACCAATTTGGTTGGTCGCACCGAAGCGAGTCTCAGAATTAGTCTCAAAGGTCATCCCTGGTTGACCGTAGAAGCGTAAAATCGAATAGTTTCTCCGTTCCGTGCCATGATTTATCACGGCATCCTCTCAATCCTAGTGGATTATTCTTCGAATGAATCGTGAAGTAGGGCTGGTGCGCGCATCATTGATAAAACAAAATTCTGAAGTCAGCAACCTTCAAGTCAACCCCTCAGCATTGACAAGGGTAATCCTTTGTTAGTCGTCCTCCGTTGGAACCTTCCCGCCGGGAAGAGAGCTATGACGAAAAATGAATATTCCGAGTGGCTCGCGAGTTAAAATACCGTGGCTTGGAACGCGTGTGTCTGCCTTAACATTGCCGGATACCCTGAAATGCATGTATAATCCTAACCCCGTCAAATGATTTCTTGGGGTAAGTCGGTTCATGAATCGTGGGCACTGTTATGACATACCTTCCTGGGATAGACTCGGATGGAAAGTTCCATTTTTGTTCGAAGGTAATGCCTTGACCAAACTCTGCTCATGTAAACCAGCAAAGACCACCGGAAAGCCGTTTCAGACCGACGTTTCCATGTGTTAAAACTACGAGGAGTTCTTCCAGAGGTTTTCTAGTGCTCCCCCACCTATCGTCCATTCGCTCGTTCATCGAAACTGAAATCCAACAGCGTCCCTCATGGTGACCGGATTTTCCAGCCATCCAATTGCCTCTATCGGTCACTGGACGCGGCTGAGGCATGCCTTCCATGACCCCGGAGGAGGATTCGGCCTTCAGAGCCGAGAGTCGAGCGGATGAGGTCTATGCGATACATCTGACGTTCTTCCTTCTGTCAATTATCTCCGTGTTGGCGAGATTAGCTGCGGCAAGGGTGTCGGGGAGGAGGTTTACGTGGGATGATTGGCTGGCTATAGCAAGCCTGGTAGGTTCTTCTGCCCGACGAAGACCTCTCGGTCCACTGCGGTCGAAACTTCACGCTGCTTTCCTGTGATGGGATGACTTGAATGGCTTCAACTGGAACATAACTAACCAAAGAGTCACAGGTATTCATCGCTGGTGTGTTCACCGGGACGATGCTTTGGCTACGGTTCGGTCTCGGCAGACACGAAGTCGTGGTCCAGGAGGAGGATCCGATGAACATTGTCTACTTCTACCAAACAATATTCGCCAACGAGATCTTGTATCCGTTTGGACTGGCGACTGCGAGGCTATCTCTCGTGGTGTTGTACCATCGAATATTTGGGCTCTTTAACGCGCGATACTACTTATACGGCTTGATGGCCTTCATCATGGCTTGGGCAATTTACGCTGTAAGTAACAATGTTGCATTGCTCACGAACCCTCAAGGACACACCCTTTAGCGAATTCAATTGGAGTGGCTGGCTAGCGATGAGTAGGAAGCCCGCTGACAAGGTTATGTCAGACACTACCGCTGATTCTGGCCTGCAATCCCGTCTCGAACTTCTGGACAAACCACAAAAACTGTATCGATATTTCGAAACTCTACATCAGCATAGCGGTCGGCAGTATCATCACCGATTTCATTCTTATCATTCTTCCGATGCCTTATGCGGCACAATTGCGGATGTCATGGTACAAGAAGATGCTTCTATTGATGTCCTTTGTGTTTGGCGGCTTGTAAGTCCTGTCTGACTCAGCGCGTAGCTTTACGTTGGCTCTTCTACACGGCTTCTAATCATAGGGGTTAGCAATTGTTTTATAACCATTATCCGTCTAGTCAAAGTCACAACATTCGACTTCAAAGATCCGACTTGGGGGACAGTCGATCTTATGATCTGGACCGGTCTGGAGGCATACTGGTATGTGTACAAGCTCAATTGCCAACGTGGGTGGAACCTATTGACCAGTTATTCAAGTGCGGTGATATGTTGCTGCCTACCAACACTCCGTCCTTTGTTTAACTTCCATCGAACTAGAGAACGTTCCGGGCAAAAGTCCGACAAGAATGTCAAGGACTCTGACCCAAGTACGGAAGGGACTCTCATGGTGCAAATGGCCGAGGCCCACGAACTTGATGACCAGCTGAGAAAACCACGTCCCGCCCACCGCACACTGGAGGAGCAATTTAAAGACTTTGACTTTGGCACAACGACTTTGAATGATCTACGAAGATACGGCAGAGCTTCGGACTTTGATGACTAGCAGATGATAATAGATGAAAGAGAAAATGATTCAAGTTCCAAGAAATTCTACTCAACACAGTTCATAATAGCAGCACAAACCCCACCTAGCAGTTACAATCGCCGAGTGGAAACTCCGTGAGTCTGACTACAAAAACAAACGGATTGTCTGACGTAACATCGTATTCGGCGGGCATTCCGCGGGCATCACGTGTACATCCGTCTGCCAGAAGAACATGTTTAGCTGTTGACAACAGAACACTTAGTAGGTCTAGGGGGTTTGCCCCATGTAAGGGGAGTGCGATGTATTGCTGCCAAGGAGTGAAAGTGTAGCAGCAGTCGCCGATCCTCGCCTAACGTGTCGCGGCTATTTTTGAGTTGGAATCGGCTTAGACTCGCCGGCTTTGCATTGGCAAGGTGACTATATACCGTGGAATCCGCGGGCCTGTCGTGTTTAGCGCCCATGTCAAACGACCATTCCGATTATTCCCAGAGGACCCAAAATGGTAAGCTTAAGAGCAAATCCCAAAATTCCGCTTGAATAATTAGGAAATAAGTTTTGTTTTGTATGGAGATAAAATGGCTAATTTCAATATCAATACATCAGGACAAGGAAGGCGTCATGCGAATGAGTGATATTTCTGTGAGTTCTGTCTCATTGTGTGATCAAACCAGGAGGGAGTTCTTTCAGAATAGAACCAAGTAGGTTTCTTTTGGAACTTCATACCATGAAAGCACGAGGTACCATGACGCCCTGCATCGAGGTGCTAACTTCTTCCACAGTACAAGATTTGATTGGAGCGGGGTGTCTCCTCCCGATCAGACTTGGAGGGCTGAAGTGGTAACTGTGCAGACGGGACCCAAGGCTATGGAACCCAGCTCTCACCAATGCCTTGAACCCACTCCTGTATTACCAGCAACCTGGATCCAACGACTTCCCTTCCGCCATTTTGCGACAGCTGACTATCACGCTTTCTGCTGCTTTCAACACCAGAGTCACTCCGAAGACATCTCTCAACAACAGCTGCGGCAAACCTGAAAGCTGACGATGGATCGCGGTACCAACAAGCAGTCCAAAAACAAGGATAAGGACGAGTCTGTCGCATCCACCGCGGCTGTCGACGACGCTCCTCCGAGCCCTTCCTCCCAAGCATCTGACTCAACGGTGCGCTCTTGTAAGGCAATCACCCCTTCTCAAGCAAGTCTTCTGACATATTGACAGTGATGGCAATGGATCAAGCTACCGAGAAGCTGGTAAACATCGCGTGCATGGTCGCTAAAGCCAGCATCGACAGCGACTTCCTTCAGGACACCGAGCCGGCTTTCGCCAGCGCCTTGGAAGTATTCTCCAGTGCCGTTCGTACGGTCGCCATACTGGCCGGCGATCGCAAACTGAACTGAGCACCTGCGGCACGGGCTAGCAAGCGTCTGTCGGCAGTTGTGCAGAGTCTGCCAATCTCCATCCAGCCGAGTGGAATGAGTCGCTTCAAAGATACGCGCTTGAAATTTGTTGGGAGTGAGTCACACCTGCTTGTAAGGCCAGTTTCCTCGACACCCGAACTGCATTATTATAGTGACAGCTTTTTAATGAGTGCCACGCCGGCACAAGGTCTGGAGGATCTGTCAATGGGGTCGATGACGCCAGATGCGTGCGCATTACGAACAGAGCAATCGATTTTGCTTTCCGCAATAAGACGGTGCACTCCTAAGATGACCAAGTGTGAATGCTCTTGAGCTGAGCCCTGAGAGGTTTTTCTGCATTGCTACGGAGAGGCAATGCTATTGATGGGGAGGCAAGCGAGCAAAGTCGACCTTTGAGCAGCCGATGTCGTGTGATGCTCTCCAAGCTCCGCCAAAATCGTGCTTCTGAATTGCTTGCCCGGCATATGCGAAGACAAGACGCACAGATGCCCTTAAACCCTCCACCTCATAAAGACCCCATGGTCATCGGCCAGTCTGGTTGAATATTGAGCTCCAGCGTTGTTTCCTCCACAACTTCTTGCAAACCGTACGGTCCAGGCTGTACGGCGATGGCCTTCCAGTAGTCATCCATAGTGCGTGCGTCCATTTCCTGACCAACTTGGACCTTCCAATCCTCCACCCAAATGGGATTTGGAGCCACCCCTTGGTACAGCACCTTGAGCTCAAGCCGGCCGTAGCGTCTCTTGCGATGGCCAAGGACCACGAGAACTCGCTTCTTCAGGAGAATGGGGCTGATTGAATTGATAGCGCCATCGCGTCCTCCCGGGAATGAAGCCCAGTACGCAGTAACCTCAGACAGGGCGATCCAACTCAGTTCCAGCTCCGTCTTCCAACCGGTTCCGTACATGTGGTTTCCTTTGATAACGGCGTAGAGCTGAATGTTATGAGCTCCGTCAGCAAAGACGATGCGATGAGAGGCGATAGAGTCGATGACGTCGGCCCCTCGATTGAGAATATCCCACAAAGTTTGAGAGCCTCTGCGGCGCTCACCGACTCGATCTTGGGTTGTTTCCGCTGGGAACTGCCTGTGTCAATTGCGTTGCACCTAGTATGAAACGAAGACGCACTTCTATCTCTGATTCTCGTTCAAAGATCTGTGGAGGCTGCTCTGCTTCACTGCTGCTGTTGCATCGGGCTTGGATCCTTGACATGATCTCCCGGACATTGAATGTGACCATTAGGCGAGCCGGTTCTTGAATATCGGACGCCGTGCTGTCAGCCTCTTTGTCGCTTTCCCCCATGCTTCGAATTTGTTCAGCTATCCAAAGTTAGCAATCTACTCATTTAGCACGGTAGAACTTACACTGTAACTGAGAAGTCGTCAAAGTAGCCTGTGCGTTGGCTTTTCTGGCTGCTTGATTCTTTCTTCGGGTGACCCATGCTTTCTTCATTTTCGATGAGTGGTCAAATTTCCCGGTTCCTTACAAGCTCTGGAAGACGAAACTCCCGAGTCTTGTTTTGCTCTCTCGTTGCGCAATGGCAGGCTGAATGACATTGTACGAAGTGCCTTGGTGATAACCGATTGGGAAGTGGGGGTTTGAGGTACGGCGTTCCAAAGTCGCCTGACGAAAATGAAATTGGCGGGCAAGCTCGAACTCGGCTTGATAGGCGAGGTCGTGTAGGTAGAAGAAAGGCTGTTGGCTTGCCGAGGACTGGGCTTTACGAATAGAATGTTGTCAATGCCGCTGCTCGAACCCACAGACAGAACGGCGCGTGCTGTGGAATTTTTGGTGGCAATTGACGGTACCAAAACGCGGCCGGTACAGTCCCAACGCCTGGAAATTGGATATGAGGCACTTTTTTGACGACGACTTTGGCGTATTTTAGATCGCAGATGAAAGAATCGATACCACCGCAGCGGGAGATGATCTTGAAATTGTGGGGCCATATCCAAGCCTACCTCCCTGACGAATTTTCAGAGACGGCAGGCGTGCTGGCAAGCAAACAGCCCTAGGCCCGAAAAGAAAAGGAAAAGGAAAAGAAAAGCGTTAACAGCCCTGGAAGGTTCCAAGAGAGACGGCGGACTTTCAAAGGTTGATCTCTGCTGCTGCTACTTACTTCTTCAGATCAAGACCAAATCGCTTACTGGTGGTGTCAGCACTTTGACAGCTGTTTACTGCTGCTCGTCGGCAATCTGATCATCCCTTAGGTGGCATAAAGCTGTATGTCTGTTTCTAGATATTCGCCTAGCACTGTTGCACAGCACAACTAGTGTCTGGTTCCAACAACGAGGCTTTCCGATTTGCCCTTGTTCCGAGACAGCCAAGACATACAGAGGCCAGTCTTCAAAACTTACGGCAGAAATGTGTTGCTTTCTATATCATGGCGTTGTGTAACCCAAGTATGTCATGTGCTGGTAATTTGGGCTAGATAAACGTAGTTCCCCCGCTCCCATTCCTCTTCTCTCCCCGTTCTGGAGGTTGCCATCAACAGTCCAGGAGTTGTTGCCATAATGCCTGGTCCATCTTCTACCATTATCACTTGCGTTTGAGCTCGCGACATTCTAAAACAGTTATTGATAGCATCAGAACATCCCTTGAGCAAATGCCGCCTGAACTGATCGAAAATGTCCTGGATAGCCTTCAACCTACGAACTTGATATCAACCATGCGGACATGCCGAAGCCTCCAAGCACTCTCTGGATCCGTCTTGCAGAGGAAGTTCTTCTTCTCCTACATGCTGCCACGGCTTGTCCTTTGCCTCATTGATTCCAGTGGCACCGCCGGGTTGGAAGGCGCAACCGCCCATATCCAACAAGTAGTTCTTACTACGCTGAAAATGAGAAGCCGATACCTGGCGGAAAGTCTAGAGGTCTTTGTCGCTGCGGAAATCTATACTGCGGAATTGGAACCACTATCATGTTTCAATATGCAACGAAGCCAAAGAGCGAGGACCCATGTTAATCGAGCATTTTGGAATGCCAGAATCAATCTACTTCATGCCGCTGCCATGCCTGGCGCCGACGATGTGGTTCAGTTTTGGTTGGACCATGGCGCGAATGTGAACAATGGCGCCGCAGTGGGCAGCTCTCAAGACGGCTACGATTCCTTTCCTAACTTCACACCCTTTGAGTTGGCAATCGCCTCCCAAAGAACAAATACTGCAGTTCTTCTTCTGAAAGCCGGCACATCCATTGGTCGTGGACGGGAACTGGCTTTGGATGGGGGAGAGTTGGAGCTGATTCGATTGATTTTAGCTCATCATCCCGTCACTGCCAAGAGACCCATCGAGTCTGATGTCGGTCCTCCAACTTTCGGGACATTTTTAAACAATCGACGTGGATGGGCACTGGCTGGCAGGGTATACAGTGCGCCTCCAGCCGACGTGGTGTCCGAGCTGATACGCGCTGGTGCCGACATGTACTTCAAGTGGAAGTGGGATGATTGCGACGCTGACCAGTCACTCATGCGTGCGATCCATCTTCACTGGGTTGAAGTAGCTGTGGTCCTCGCCACGGAGTGGGCTGACAGGAGCTGCCTCAGTCAGTTGCTCGCCTGCAAATGGACCTCAGGAAACAAGCAGTTGGCATTGCGCTGTATTCACATACTCAAGGCCCGTTTCAATGACAAGGTGGCAGTCAATCGCAAAGAAAACATGGCAACTGCGGCTCAGCCAGGGGAAGCGGCGACGAGGACGACTTGATGCCATGTAGCGGTGAAGCTTTCGGTCATGTAATTGTAAAGTCTATTTTGCCGTCGGCGGTGTCTTGTTGGTCAGAACTCATTTACTCTCATCCAACGACCCCTACCCATTCCCACTGTCAAGTACCCAAGGGGGCTAGCCGCTCTCGGCAAACTCAAGCATCAAAGTGCGTGATGTCTGACGGGATGCGACGCAAGCAAACTTGAAGCAAACCTTTGTAATAAGTAGCTGGAGATGATGGCGCCAAGCCAGGTTGCTTCGGCTTCTCAAATAGGAATGAGGATAAATTCGTTTCAGGTGAGATATATGTAATCTACGGATGCACTGCGGCAGTTTCTCGTGGCGAGCACACGTAATTAAGATGAAAACCCCGGGCGGCTTTCAGCAGCAAGGATGTCGAAGCTAGTCGGGAGGTTGCGGAATCTCACAGGATGCCCTGGCTCTGGCCGGAGATTCGGAACTGTTCCCGTCTCGAGCCTGGCTTCGTTCGGTGAGAAAAAATCATCTCCGGCGGTTGGTTCCAAGACTTGAAGACAGGGCGCCCCGCTGTCATTGGACACCCACCCTTCCATGGCTCTGGGCCCGGAAGTGGGAAGTGAGAGCCCCATTTCGACATCGGCCAACCACAAACACACAAACAGCTGCGGCGGAGCCTCAACTCCGCAAATTCTGGTGCCGCACGTCGACCGTTGGGAAATGTTGGCTGGGATCAAATCCGCCCGCAGCTCCAGTGTGTCTGAGTGGATGGTAACGAGACAACTTGCGGGGGTTCTCTGCTGCTGATCAGGGGTTGAGACTGGAAACTCATTTCGCTAACTTGGCAATGGAGCCGGGTGGGAATTTCTGAAAGCGGATTCTCCCTTTCCAACGGCCAGACACGAACCTCGCCGTGGTCGCTGCGTGCTCGATCTGCAAGGGTATTGACGGGCCGGGGCCAAAAACCGTTGCCGATCAAGCTCCCGTGGAGAAGCCGCGATTGTTGAAAAACCTGTCAACATCATCCTCGACACTACCTACCTTACCTTACCGACCTACGTATTATTGAACGGACGGGAAAACTGTGGACTTGACCGACGTGTCCTTGCCGAATCGCACTCATCAGTTGATCAGCAGAATCCGTGAGACCAGACTCCGCCACAACGTACGAGCAGCTGCATTAACAGAATCAGCTAGCGACCTGCGAGTTCCGCCCATCATGTCCACCATCCCCGAGAACGAGGCCACGCGCGCGGAGGAGCGGTCGCGCTGCTGGACCACCAACGTCGAAGAGAACGCTGCGGATGAATCGGAGCACCAGCACAGCGGAGGAGGATTCTTGTCCGGATTATCCGGCATCACTGTCACGACCGAAATATCTATTCAACCCGTATGTTCTCGCGATACAACGTTTACAACAAACTCGCTGACAGGCTCTCAGCACGAGGAGACCACAGAAACGACAACGACAACAACAACAGCAACGACAAACTCCGAGACTGGCCCGGGGAGTGACGACAAGAAGACGGAGAACAGCCATTAGTGAGACTGTTTGACCATCCATGGGAGTGGCAGGGCTGGGAGGACCATTGCTTTTTGTGCTTGGAGCCAGGATTGCGAGGGACACATTGTGTAGCGTGCATTTTAAGAGCAAGTAATACATATCGATTTTTCCCATCTTCTTCAGTACTTTGCCTCGCAGCCGACAAGTCCCGAAAGAAGACAGGTAGGATGGTGGCCCAGCAATTTTGGATTCAGGTGCGGCCGCCCGTGGACCTATGCAGTACCACACGCATCTGGTTCCAGTAGATTGGGGAGCTTCGTGCCAGTTGCATGACTTTCTTTTGGACACGACCGACAGCAAGCCTTGACTCTCACCTACAGAATGCCTCGTGTATCCTGCAGAGCGGCAAGTGGCCGTCCACAGTGCCAAGGTGGCAGCACCAGGCAGTCTAGCAGGTTCTTTGAAAAGCCTGCATCCGCAAACAAAAGAGCCTTGCATGGCCGAGCCGGTGGCCACGTCCTCTGCGCCCTCTTTGTTTTTGCCTGCTCGAAGTATTCATATTTCTGTCAGTCATCGAGTCCCTAATAACTCTGTCCATCTGTTCTGAGATGAATGCGACGCGCCTCTTTTCGATTGCAACCATTCTGTTGCTCCCAACGTCTTTCCCCCTTAGGAGCCGCCAACATGCACAGCCCAATTGGCAACAACTCACCTAACAAAGGTTACTGTTCTCCATGCTTTCTTTTAATGTTTGCGTACATTGCTAACCAGATCTCTCGAGAAGGCGCCGACTGTGCTCTGCGAAGCGCAACACCGGGTGTGATCAAGACCAAGTCCCATCGCCGTCTCAAGACCAAGTCAAGCACCAGATCCGACCAATTCAAGTTTGAAGTCCTCCATCCCGATGACGCGACAACTTGGGAGCGGGAAGTCGCCCTGCAGGTAACTGCGACAACCGTGTTCTACTGTTAGCGCCGGTCAGGCGGTCGCCGCAAATACATATCGCAACCTGACGTCTAGGTCTACGACAGGAACAACAAGAACCCTGCAAAGTGGCCCGGGAACAGCACCCAAGAGATCGAGGATGGCGATGAAAACGACGCTTCCTGGCGCTCGAAACCCTCCAAGAGACAAAGAGATGGTGACTATCAGGCTCCCATACTCCGGTCGCAGTTGGGATAGCTGCGGGTTGACGCTTGTGGTTCTTACGAGAGATTCAGACCATGTTTGGTCTTCGCAGACTCTGGCACCTTGGCCCTCATATTAACACGAAGAACGGTGTGGGCGACGAGTACGTAATGATGCAATCGTAAGTAGATAGTTAGGAGCCCAATTGCCTTCTATGAGCTACGTGTAAACTACTTCATGGTTTGCTGTCACAGTATTGTTGAATGCGCTCACATCTCTAAAGTACAGTTCTTTCGTTGTCTTTCCATCCAAGCCACTAAAGCCGAAAAGCTGCCTGGTCTGCCCAACCCCGGTGGTGACAGTATTGTCACCATACCGGGAGTAGTTGGCAGTTCCATTTCTCTCTGTTTCCAGGACACTTCCGACCCAAGCGCCTTTGAAGGCCTCGGCACCAGTGGGAAAGACTCCATCTCCGCTCATCTCGATCTTGAGGCCTTGGTCAAGCCGGGCCCATAAGGTTAGGTTGCCCGCCGGAAGATACTGCGTCGTTGTGTTACAAAATAGCGGGTATGAGAAGCTCGTCTCATATTGCCGACCCGTCAACTTTGCCGCTTCTTTCCCGGTGATTACAAAGGTATTGATACCGCCGTATCCATTCAAGTACAATCCACCCGCATTAGAATATTCTAAGCTTTGAGACCATGTGGCTGTGCTGTTTCCTTTCTGAGTTTTCAGTGCGGAAGAGATTTCAAAATCTCTCTTGACGGAAATCGTGTAATCCAAGGTCTGATTGAAGCCGGTTGCGTTCTGGCTCAGGCTCTGCTGAAAGCCGATCGTTGGTTCTGTAATAGCTTTACCCAGAACGCCTGTTGTTATGCTTCCTTCGTCATCGAGCCACAAGAAGACCTTGCCGACGAGATACCAGCTGCTTTCAGTGGTGTTGGACAAGGTTGCCATTTTCCCGTCATCATTGAGCCCCACAACCTGTATGCCAAAAGTGTGCTCTTTTCCGTCACATAGCAGCGGTAACCAGGGACTGATGTCGATCTCGTGATCCCGTAAGTCAAATGCATCGATACCGACAATGGGCCTGTGTAATTGCGGCACGACACCACCGGTGAAAATGGTTGGGTACGGCCAGTAAACACCTGCTAGCATTCCGTCAATCAGGATCTGCACTTCTCGAAACGGCGAGTATCCCGGGTACGTGCCAACGTCTGGCTCGAATGCGTTAACGGCAGATTGTGGTACGTTGCTCCACCAAAACTCGTCATTGCCTTGAGCTTTCACGTTTGCCGAAAACACAGCTCTGTTCGCATTTCTGGGAAAATTCAGGGCGACGCTGGCATTCTCCTCGGGATACGTCCAAAAGCTTGCGGTAACAGGGCTCTTCGCGGCGGATACCGGCAAAATTAAGTCTGCGGGTGGTTGCTCGGTTTCCAAGTCGGCTTTGAAAAATGTTGCGGTAAGGGTAGAGTTTAATAAGCCAGTGTAGATGTCGGTGATGACGTTGTCGAGCTGGAAAATCAGCGTCTGGGGCTCCCTCCACAGCGAGAGGTACGGGGTGACGTCCTTTCGCCAAGTCCAGGTAATGCCGTTTTGGGTGGGCTCGGCGGTGGAAGTCGAAAAAATGTTCACATTGTCTAGATACACGGTGCCCCATCGGTCGAATTGGCGACCCTTGACTTCGACAGTGAAGTTGATGACGACGCGGTCGAACTCAATGTCAGGGGGCGTGTAGTCGCCCACGAATGGGGAGCCGTAGCTGTTGGCGAACTGGTGATCCATCAGAGTTATGGTGACAGATTCGCCTTCGGCATGAAGAACAGGTTGGGCAACCTGGAAGCACTCCAGCAGGGGCGTCGTGGCCGGTGCAAGGGCGGGAGCGGCAGCGGTATCCATCTCGTAGGCAAGCCTCCCCATTCTGGCCAAACGATTCTCTTTGGCGGGGGTTCGGGAACCGATGAATCTGGCTTCATGCTGCGATGCGGGCTGGGCCTGCAGAACGGTGCCGTAGACTGATGCCGCCGTCGCGAGTCCGACCACAAGGGCCCTCAGCAGACGGCTCCCTGCGCATGACATGGTGAGCGAGGGTGAAGATGATGCGGGAATACAGTGGCTCGACTCTTGGCGCAATTGAGAACCATGGACGCGCGGGGTTTATGAGGGTGTCGCGTTGGCGTGATACACACGGCGGCTGTCCGGCACCGGCGGAGATGAAGCTCGTGGGCGCAACAATGGACGAAAAGGGCAGGTGACGTTGAGCCATGATAAGGTGCCATAGCGCGACAGTCCAGGCCACACTGATTGGCTCGGCTGCGTGGGGGCCGACTCGCAGTCGCTGCAGACGGGACACTTACGGAGGGAGGCACCTTACTCTCATTACCTGACCTAGGTACCGTACCTCAGTCGTTTGCTCGCTTCGGAGACGTGAAGATGAAAACAATGTTTTATTCTTTTTTCCTGTCCAGTCTTTTGCAATGCTTGCCTAGATTAAGGTACTATCGTGCACTGCGCCCACGCACCCTTGGTGGTCAATTGCCTCGCAGCACTTTCAGCACCAAGGCCAGTGCGCGATCGCCCGCCGATCGATCCACCGGGCTTCCGGGCCGTCAAGTCGGAGGAGACACCCGAGATTGGGGGCTTTCTGAAGCGCCTTGCCCCATAACTGAGCCGATCCGAATCCTGGCCGGCTTTGAAGAGCGCGGGACGTACGCTGGACCGTCCGACACATCCCTGTCCCAGATCTTGGGGCCTAGACTTCGGAAAAAAAAAAAGGCAAGTCTATTCATTCCTAAAATCTCGCAATCGTACTTCTTCGCCAAGGCGCTCCACTGTCGTGACCTGGCTTCTCTCAGATAGTCTTGTCGTTGTGATGCAGGCTGTTTCGGATGTTCGACTCCGGGAATGAGTTACTCCATAGCCCGTAACTACCCGTCCATAATCTGGTCTTTCCATTGTTGTTTCGTTCATGTGCAGAGAGAAATCATCCACAATTTTATGAGAATGCTTGCCAAAGGCAGCTCGTAATATACGAAGAAATTTTGAGGTCGCCAAAGGTATTACTGGATGGTCAGCATGCACGATCTGTTGTTGAGATATGCGCTTGGACGACATGAGAGTGAGTCGGGTCTGGCGAGTACCTTCCGGACTTTCCCAAGTAAGTTGGTACTCAACAAGCCTTATGCCATTCTAGAAAGCTCACTCAATTCGCATAGGTCGTGTACCTTGAGATATCCACGGTCCATGTTCACCCCACTCTTCTTGAAGTGTAGTAGGAATAAATCCAGGACACGCCAAAGAGTCTCTTCTTCCCTCGAGCCTGCGCTAGACTGTGTGCCTCTCAATCAGAGACTTGAACCGGGATGAACGGCATTTGCCAGGACGAGGGAACACGGGCAGACCATCGTTGTTCATTATTCACAGTCTTGAACTTGAAAACCAGTATTGAGTGTTTTCGCTGAATAAAGAAAAACAACATACGAAAACCAAATAAAGAAAGAAAGAGCATATCAATAGGTAGCTTCAATTCAAATTCAAAGCCATTGCGGCATCCTCCTAGTATGCATACTTGTCAGTCACTGTTGGCAATCAGACTTGAATCGTTGGCCAAAATCCAGGGACAATCCCTACTCGGCTCTCACGGAGGGAAACGGGGTGGGTCGAGAATGAAGACGGATGCTTACAAGCGAGATTACTTGTGGACCCAACTGCACTCAGGGGCAATGTGCTCTCAACCTCCAGAACTTTTTCCTGCAGTCGTTTGCTTTGCCTTTGCAGCAGGTTCCGGCCATTGACTCTAATGGGACGCTTAGAGAACGAGCAGCTTTCCACTCGCGGACAGACCAAGAGAAGGGACAGTTTCACACCGTCTGAAGCTAACGCCACGACCCCGCTGCACGACCTCAAGTGCTCACCCAACCGGCCCGTCTCCCGCCACGGCCCGGGCTCTAGCCCCGATGCCCCTCGGTCGCTCGTAGTTCCGGTTCCGGTACCGGTGCCGGATTCGCCAGCGACTGGAGGTGGTCTCGCTCCGTCACCGCTGCCGGCATCCACATCGGCGCCCGCCGTGACTTCGTTCATCCCCGACCACAAGGGCTGTCCAACGTGCGCGCTTCACCAGCTTCAACGGAGACATACTTCCTTGTGGCATGCCCCCGGGGGCACACAGAGCATCATCCAGCTCGTAGTACAACATGCTCGCCGACCGTGGGAACAGCCCACGCTCAACGACGAGATAAACATGCGCCGGGTGTGCTCGCTTGTCAATCAGTACGCCAATTGCAACGCCAGCAGGCGCATTACATCATTGGAGCTATGCGAAGACTGCGAGGAAAGATATCTCTTTGAGATGGACTGATTCATGCATCCTTTCACCGTAAGTATATGCCCAATCATTGACTTCAAGTTTAGTCGCTGATCAGTGATCAACACAGAACTCCCATTGGCCTCTTTCAATGAAGTGGGGATCATGTGCAACTGGTTGGCCGGTGGTTTATAATGTCGTGGAGCTTCCATGGAATTCGCAATCATCGATGAATGTCAAGGCTCAGGAAATTAGACGACGGTCACATTTAGTGCCGCTAAATCACGCAACTCGCTTCTTTATGCAGACCTGCCGACTGCTCTAATCAATTCATTTGATATTTCTCGTGGATCATTTGCTCTGTTGCCACTTCGACATTGCTTACCGTGGCGTCTTCGTAACTTTGCTCATTCCGCTGTTCCGGATCTGTCCTATTCTTGTCACGAACGCAGTCCAGCGGGCACAAAGATGCCGATGTTCTTTACCTCAAACCCCCGAACAAAACTACAAAGAGGTGGCGTGTCCAATGACCGACGCTAGTACCTGACTGAAAATTTTCGTTGGGCGCCTGGACATGTCGCGAGACCACCCAGAACCTTGACACTGATCGCAGATAGGTCCATCTGCTATATTGAGGGTAACACGGCGTTTTGATTGCTCAGGGCGACTTCCTGTTATGGTTTGTATGCAGCTAGTGCAGGGATATGTCCGCTTTAACCGCCAACCAACAGAAATCTGAGAAGACCAGGATGTCGCAGAGCGGCACAGTCACCCCTTCTTGGAGTCCGGATATAGAAACAGGTTGGCTTTCCCTGACAACTGAACGATCAAAGGCCTGCACATTGGTTATTGAAAGCTAAGCCCCAACTAATAAGTCGGCTGAACGGGTGGATAAGATTGCCCGGTCCGACGAACAACAACCTACCACTTGACATCCCTTCCTGCGCTCGTCTGCCCAGAACGCCAAACGCTGACACCAACTCACACAGTGAGCAGCGAGTCGTGAGCTGTGCCAGATCTCCACCATGCCTGCCCTTGGAAGCGAGGATGCGGCGTTAGCGAACCTAGCCAATAACCTTGTCTTTGTATCTCTTTCTCATCCTGGAGAGATAACAGCATGCGCTACCACGATCCGTTCCCACGCAGCTCGGACCGTCCATGCTCGTCGGCAGAAGTCCGTCAAGCGTCACCATCCTCGTCCCGAGAGTGACAGCTCGGATGACAAAAAGCCACATTCGATGACCCTGGTCAAGCAACGAGGGCCCATACCCCAACAATATTTTCAATCCATACTGTGGCCGAAGGAATTCGACCCTTTCGATTCGTTTCTTAGATCACTGGCTCCAAATGAGGATAAGCTGATCAGGGTTTGTAAGTGGCAGTTTCAGGATGGATCTGGGCTTATTTCCTCTAACCTTACGGTCTAGTCGTTCAGCACCGAGTGCTGAAAGCCATGTCATACCTTCCGGATCCAAAGATGTCGTATATATCAGATCTCGATAGGTTCTGGCATTGCGTCACTATGTACTGGGTTCAAACTGCGCTGTGGGACAGCGGCATGCTCGATAGCTTGTTTCTCTTGACCTGTCGGTATATAGCTGACCGCGCTCCGGGCTGGAAGTCAGGATTCACACATCAAGCGCTGCATTACAAGCGAAGATGTCTGCGTGAGATTGAGCACTCGGAGTCATTTACTGACCACGTCATAACAACACGAATGGCTATGGTAGCCGATGAGGTACGATTGTACCCTCCTCTCGCATGTTTCAAAGTCTGAATGTGCTGGTAACTGACACGTCTACACAAGACCATGTTTGGAACCTCGACTCGGATGGAGCGACATCTCCGAGAGGTTTGCGACCTGCTGCGGACAAGAGCGGCCAAAGAACGCAAAGAAGTCGTTGCTTTCAACAGACGCTCTGGAAATGTGTTAATAAGCTATACTCAAGGATGTGGTGGGAGTAGTCTTGGATCCGTGGGATGGAAGCTTCCAGATGCAGCTCCAGGTGATGAAGGTGAAATCGATTTGGTGTTTTATCTCGGCAATGGGGATGCTTCAGCTGTGAATTTCTTTGCAAAATAGGTCACTGGCGGTTTCAGCATGGGGCTCAAAAGGGAGGTTCAGTGTCAATCAGTGACCATTGATGAATCATCTAGAACTTGGGAGAAACTAAATTATAGCGACTTCTGCATCTTCAGTGATGCAACCAGCCTCCGAGAGACAACCCATCCGGTCTAAATCTCCCTGTTGAATGTAAAAAGTGCCTCCAGCTCCCGATGACTAGTGAAACTATCAATCTAGGTGTCCTTAGCAGGATCCCTTAACCCTCTGACCAAGCCGATGTCTCCTGCTAGATCTCAATCGAGAATCGACTGAATGCTTTGCGGCACTTAGCATTGAGATATTCTTGAACCAAAGTCCTTCATTCTCCTCATTGTCTGCTTGAACTTGCTTTGCGTCGGGGTTTGTGGGGTGACCATTGGGCCAGTGACATCTCCGTTGTCGCACGCGGGGTCCAGTGGCTTCCTCTGGCGCAAGTACAAGCCGCGGAGACCAGAATGGCCTCGAACTAAAGGACCTGGCTCAAGGATACTATCGTAGTCTTTTTCATCATCATCAAAGATGTCCTCGTCTTTGTTGCCGTAGCGCATTTTGCAAGCCATGCTCGAGACAACTTGGAGGAATTGAGTGACGGTCAGTGCAGGGTGGGCGAGTGCTGTGATGCTGTTCTGGTTCAGAGCCTTGGATAGCTGAATTACCCTTGCGAAGGGACTGACAGTGTTGCCTTCTGCGCTGTTGTATTGGTCATTGTTGAAGTCGCTCTTATCTGTGTCGAGAGATGGATATGCGTAGTTGGACCTGACTATCATCAGAAAAGTTCGGAGAGACGGATGGATTGGAATATTCTCTCACCTTCCCGGGCATTGAAATTTCTGCCGGAAGGAATTCTCGTGGTCTTGATATGAGATCAAGACGAAATCGTCATCACAGGAGTCGCAAGCGGTGATGAGACGGACCATGTTGATGTTTTTCGAGTGAGGATGCTGTTTAGTGATGATGTTGTCGTTAGCATATCTGCCGCCGGTTGTTTTCCAGCTTGCCTTCCTGATGTTGACGGATTTGTAAAATGATGGAAGTGGAATCTGAGCGAGACTTTTGCGAGCGACCTGGAGTGAAGTGGGTGACGTGAGTGACGTGATTCAGTGAAGTACCTGAAGGCAATGCCAATTGGGGGCAGGAGCGAGGACACGACACAAGTCGCTCCTTCCTCTCCAAGGAGGCTTCTTTCTCTCTCCTGATCTGCGCTTTCGTGCATTGTCACTTGCCTCCTCTGGCACTGTGGGTCAAGGTGGTGGATTCTAAAGAGCACTGTGCCTACACAGGCACTCCCCGCCGCTCATCAGGCAGTCTCAAGATCTGCAGCAAAGTCACTAGACCCAGGGATATTTGCACAGTGCACAGTATATTTTTACTGTGCTGAAGCTATTCCCATCTCCCCGTCAAACGACCAGCGGGACGCGCAACGGACCATCTCAATATCTTCCCCTCTCAGATTTCAAACCTCATCTGTTTTCCTCTCCGATTTTTTTCGACTTCTTCCTGAGCATTGCGACCCATGCATACGAGCAGTCGCCGCATAACAAATACCTTAACCCATCTTTTGTGTTCCTTCCAAATACGTCGAAAGTCGTGAACTTCCAAGTTCCTTCCCATAAGTTCCCCACATCTAGCATTATCGCTACATGTATCCGACCCTACCAATTTCGAACGATCCAAGCAAGTCACAACGTTGCTATGAAGGAGACCAGCGGCAGTCTCTTCGGGAAGTGGACGGAGAAGTGGGAGGACGATGTCGAAAAGGCCAAAGCAGCAGAAGCTTTTCTCCAACGTCGAAGACGTGAGCTCAAAGCAAGAATCATCGCCATCCGCCGCAAGAGGAAGATATCTCCTAAGAAACAACATGAAAAGCAGCCTGCGAGGCCCGAGAAGCAGGCTGCCTCGCTTGTGCCAGCTGACAATCGGGATATCAAAGCACTGTCGGTATCGACTTATTTCTGCAGGAACGACAAATGCTAACTCTTCACGGAACCACCAGGCCACGCGGACACCGGTCGAAACGGGCCAAGAAATCTCCTCAGAGCCTGCTAAGGACGGTGCTGATCGCCAAGAACCGTAAGAACATCGATCTTCTGTTGGTCAGCAGAAGGAAGCGTGCTCAGAGAGAGAATGTGGCTCAGGGCCACGATGGCAGCGCGGCAGCGAACTCTTGATAAACGTAAGAGGAGGACATGGTACCAGGTCTTTAATGGGCAGCTGGACTGCAGGGTTGGTGATCTGGGCGTTGTTACGTAGGGATGTCGTTGTGCTCGAGAATTTGTTCATCTTCCGAATCGCAAGATTGAGTCGAAATCACTTTACGCCCGCAGTGTGACACTATAATTATTGTTGAGCATTTGCATGAGAAGGGCTGTTGAAATAAGAGGAACCAGCGCTAGGCAGGATCACGCGGGCGTCTTTCCGTATATTCTATACCTAATGAAGGAGGCTCGTATTAATTTGATTCGGTAGGTAGTTGGGCCAGCTGAAGTTGAAGTGCTGCTGGTGCTAGACACTCAGTCATCAATGCGGAAACCAACTCTTGCTCCCACACCATTGCTTTGGTGAACTGGGTATACAAGAAAGGTCAAGTGCAGAAAAGAAACGAGATAAAAACAACTTTATTGTCCAAGAGTTGGATAATTCGTTCTACCCGCAACACACAAGGCCTATCCCACCCTCAGAAAATCAGCCCTTCTGCTCGTTACGATACCTCAACCACTGCCGTTCCTTTTCATACCATTCACCGAGTTCAAATCCATCCATAATGGTGTCTCTTGAGAATGCGACTTCGCCCGGCAGCGCTAAACTTACCCCTGCGCCCAGTCCGCAAAAGGATCACGCCTTGATTGAGTGCTCGTCAGAGGATGAAATCGCCACCAGCCCTGTCACGCTTGGCGGTCCCTCGAAATGTGCCTCGAGTTGCAAGAGGCGTCGCACGACCCTTCTCACGGCGCCCACGTCAACTTCTTCAATCTTCTTGCGTGATCCGCCCGCATCGCCTACCCCCACCCGCTATGCAAGACATTCTGGCCATGCGCGAAACTCTAGGGTTTGCACACTATTCAATTGGCTTTTGTATTTTTTGTCACTAAAACTCTTCCAGGCCTCCGCAAAGAACCCGCGCAAAATTACCGCGGTCAAGAAGTCCCTCAATGACAAACCTCCTTCCCAGAGTACTCCCACAAAAGATGCACGCCCGTGGGACTACGACATCTATGACGTGATGGCGGAGCCGGAGATTCCGTCTTTCTCCTCTCCCACCGCAAACTTCGAACTTTGCGATGCCGTCCAAAGCTCCAGCTCGCCTGCTTTGACGTCGACAGCAGCTGCCCAGAGCCTACTCGGCAGCGTTGTATTCACGGCCGCAGAGATCTCTGCTATCATCCAAGATCTAGAAGATATCGAACTGCAGGAAGGAGACGAGAGGCTGAGGATGCATATCAGGATGCTGAGGGAGCGTCTTACGGAGTGAATATGACAGTTCTCGCCCGAGTGGAGACGGTCGAGCTGTGCGCGGCGCTTCAGGGGATTTGATCATGGTGGGATGAGGGCCTCTTAGCTTGGGATAAACGGATCATGATGTCGTGGAGGTTTGAGAGGTCGTTTACTTAAGTGTACAAACCTCTACCGTCCTGAGACTTCTCTGAATAATGTCCCTCAGTCAGGCACAAGGCCGTCCATGGTTGTTGTGGAATGCATTTATGAGGTGGTATTGGCCGCCTTCGTCAGAGACTTCAGCTTTGAACAGTTTTTTACCAGTGAATAGTTGCAATCAGCTTTCCACAATCTCATCAGTTAGCAACAGTCAGCAATGCTTGTACGAGCCCCCATGGCGATACAATGATTCTCTGATGAGACGCACGTAGCTCGTCTCTTCTAGTTCCTGAGATGTTGCTGATGCCGGCCGCTAATTAAGCTATCACCAGTCCACGAGTAAGGTCGAAGACTCCAAGTCAGCTGATGATCTCGCGGAAGGGCGCGAAGTGTTCTTGTCCCTGAGTAGCGTCATCGGCTCCGCTGTGGGGCATGCCAACGCGGGATCGGCAACTTCTCGCATGACCCGTAATCTCAATTCCCGGGTCACAATCGGCAAGCACCGAGTCGGCCTTGTCGTTTCAGGGCCGCCATCCCACATACCGTTTGACGCGCCACATGCCGTAGCTCACGGACGCGGGAGTGACTTCTTTAGGCGGTGATTCCGGTCTTCGGGTCCCACAATGGCGGAGACGGGGGCCGCGGGTCTCGTTGCCGTTGCCCGGCATTCGAACATTCTGGCGCCTTTCTACGCATGGCCCTACACTAAATATAGTCTAATCAGATAGTCGGGTCAGATGTTTCTCGGTTTTGACCCGCAGTAGCCCTAGGAACAAACAAACGAGAATCGGAGATAAAACCAATAGAGGGAAATCCATCGCCGTCGAGCATAATATAAGAATAGTGCTGATGTCTACCCGCACGTCCACATGGTGCCCTCACGATGATCCAGACAGAACGTCATGGATCTGAGAAAGAAGAAGAATTAACCCTAACTTATTCGATCTTGTCTAGCCAAGGAAGGGCAGTAGACTGCTTCACCCCTGTGTACCCCACGATTCCCGAACATCCCAAACACGCCCACCTTCCAATGACATGGTACCACCAATTGCGGCTATGTTACCAACGTGCCACCACAGTCTCTAGACATCGTTGTTACGAAGTGGTTCAGGAGATTTACCGTAGGCATGTCCGCCGTATGAACAGCGCTGCCGCCAAAGCCAATCTATCAAACCTACTAACAAATATACCAAACAATTGAAGCTATTCCCAACTGTCAATTAAACAATTCCTGACCCCTCATATTTGATATATTGGGTTGATTTGGCTTGGTATATTATATAAGCATACATATAGCCAATAGGATGCCATTATCGCGAATATTCACGCCCAACACGGTCAGCTTTCTTTTTCCTATATACAGCACCATTAATCCTAGCAGCT